GGTGGGGAAGTAGAGATCCATGACTCCATGGGAGCTGACCTGTGGCTGACTCCCTTCCTAGGCATGGAAGAGCAGGGCCTTGCTAATTGGCATAACTTTTACCCTTTTGTGGGTATGAGTCGTTGACTGTGGCAAGTAACAAACCGAGTCTGCCGTGGGATTACCCGTCTCCCACTTTCTTGGATTTTTTTTTTTTTTTTTTGGTTGTTGTTGTTGTTGATTGTTTTTTCAGGTTTAAGCTATTACGGCGCAATTGTTAAACTTTTTTATTCTGTTTTAATTCCACAGGAGTGCAGAAGCTGAAAGTATGGAGATGTAGTTGTTGAAGATCCTCTTCACAAAACGTATGTGTCTGGCTGTGCCTATTAAGTTATTTAGAGGTGAGATCTGGGAGAGGAAAAATACCGATTTGATAATTTATGCGTAGCGATTACTTTGCTGTGACTTGTCATTTGAAATCAAGGTATCGGCTTAGAGGTTTATTTTAAGGCATGCTTCATATTTACATGTTTTTGGGGCAGAAAGGTACAATCAAGTGCATTAATGTGACTAGGAGGAGTTGGCTTTGGATATAGAGACATTGGAAAACATAATCCACTATCCTTAGCATAAAATACACATTGCCAGTACTTTGCCTGCCGAACTAGCAGCATCTGAATGCAGAAATTTCTCCCGGATATCCTGTGCAAGGGGAGTGTCTTTTTCAATAAGCATGTGAGTACTAAGAGAAATGTGCAGTTGCAGGAGCCGGCAGAAGTTAATATCAGCAGCTTTACAACTCCTGGGAAAGCATCCTGCTATTTAGTGATGGTTGCTGTCTTGTTTGTGTTTCCAGTAGCATTATTAAACTGCCTCAAACTTGTTTTTACAGGGGAAAAGCCCTCTTGAAAGAAGATGGGGCTAAATTCCACATGTGAATTCTAGGAGTAGCTGTGACTAAATCTGTTAATTTTCACTTAGGGTGGGGTGGATGTACTTAATCCTCTGGAATTGACGCCTTTTGGGAGCAGTAATATTTCTGGTTGTGAGGTAGGGACTAGCAAAAGCTAATTTTAAGCTAGGTCTTAACCTCGATTTTTAAACCAAGTGCAAATTTGGAGCTTTGATGAGAGCTTCTGCATTCCGTCTGATCTTGATGAAGAGGGGCTGGAACCCAGCTTGCCTCGACTGGTTCTGTACAGACAGACGCAGTTAGGATCTCATTTTGTGCTGCTCCTCTCTTTGGGCTGTCACTAAGCCTTGAGGTACTTCAGCAATGATTTTGGTAGTTGAGTGGCTGTCCTGCACCTTCAGGGATGGCACCTCTGCTCTTGAAGTGTGTTAGAAAGGTGGCTGCAGTGAGTGTACCTGTGCTGCAGAAGCTGCAGGTAAGTTTCTGAAGCCTGGAAAAACGCATGTTGAAACTACAGTTTTAACTTCAGTGTCTGTGTGAATGTAAAGTGTTTTAATGTATGAGTAAGTCAATAAAGAGATGATTGGCTGCAGGTGTGGTTTCTTTCTTGAAAAACTGCTGATGACTGTGATTAGACCTACACCTGTGGGTCAGGAATACTTTCACCTGCCAAATCTGCCTGTTCTGGGGACGCACCTTTTGGGCAGAATCTGTGGTTTCATGTGGCTGATGCACTGTCTGGGAATCGCTCCAGAAGCGGTACAGCTTGAATGAGAGGTAAGTGCTGCAGGGCAGAAACAACAACTTGAAAGAGAGTTGATTGTTGCAGTTGCTGAGGGAATCCATGTTTAAGGAGCTCCAGTGGATGGTGAATCATGGCACACTCAGGATATTTTACTTAAAAGTAAATGTACTACTGTCTTAGTGAATAGCAGCTTTGCTGGCACACTCTTAAGGAGTATCTTTCAGATAAATTTTCTTTTCTTTTTTTGCAAGTAGTTGGAAACTGAAAAGTTAGAGGGAAAGGGAGGGTTTGAAAGGACTGAGAAACAAAATCTGTGAAGCCAGAACTGAGATAAGCAGCGTGCAGTGTAATTGCTGAGGTGGGGATTCCTGCTTGAAGCGAATGGAGCAGAACTGTGGGCTCTGATTGCAGCGTGGACTGGATGAGAGGGAGTGACTTCTGGTGGGGAGATTGAGGAGCTGTCATAGGAAACTTTTCAAGGTTTTTTTTTTTCTTAAGCATGTAGTTTTTCTGCCCAAGTGGAAGTACAGATGAATTGAATGTGTTTTCTGTGTGGTGCTGTAACAAGTGATAGCACACCTGTTTAACTGGTGGTGTGTGATTACTCCTAGCAGCCCTGTCATGTGGCTTTCTGCTCTGCATTCCAAGGTGCTGGCTGCCAAGCCTGGTAGCCAACAATCAGGAGAGAGTACTGTGAGTTCCCTCTCCTCCAAAAACACTGGACTTGTGTAGTAACCTCAGCACTTGAGAAATTGCCACATCTGTTCTGCAGGGCACTTAGTTCTTTATCTTAAATGGGCAAATGCCAGGCAGACAAATTTTTATTTTTGGAAGTTGTTTAGGGTTGAGATAAGATCCACATCAAGGAGGCTTTGTGTGTCAGTTGCAGTGATGTTTTGTGCATTCTCTGGGAAATAAAAACTTGGGAAGTTCAGGAGGGCTGCATGTAACTAGAAATTTCATGGTGCTGGGGAACCTGGAGAGATGACATTTCTTTGGGGTTCTTTGGTCATTTCACCTGGTAACAAGTGCCAAGTGTTTTCATGGTGCCACCATTAACACTGTTCTTGAACAGCTTTAAAAGTGTAGGATGAACTTAGGACAACCTAACTGCTCTGAGTTACAGCACAGGGAATGGGACAAACTTTTCTCTCAGAGAAAATAGCCCTAAGCTTATTTGCTGTAAGGAAGATGCTTTCAAGAGCAGCCTTTCTTAGGTAAAGCCCACACGAGGTTTACCCAGCTGATGTTGTGCAGCAGCTGCTTGTGCTTCTGCTGTATTGATGAGCGTGCAGAGCTTGTAGTCAGTGTGGCAGCTTTTATTGAACACTTGTACACCATCAGGCTCACTGAGCAAAAAAACGAGAATGGCGTAAGATGGAGACAGTTTCATTTCTTGTTAGAAACTGAAAAGGCATGCTCAGCATGGAAACAGTAGTGTGCAACATTTTAAAATCTACCAAAGCACTCTATTAAAAGCAAAAATAACAAAGTACTGAATCTAAACGTTTACTACACTTAGTATGCCGGCTTAGTTCCCCCCCCAAGTACCCTGTTTCTGTGGTGCAGCTATTAGAAGATGAATATTTCCCCTGTATACAAGGCATATATTGCACTAGGTAGCCTGCTTCACCACGAGTCTCAATGGGTCTTGTACAACAAAGCTCAGATGTTACATGCAGATGTATTTTGACAGACTGACTTCCCCACTAATTAAGGGCTATACAGAAGTAAAAACATGATGGTTTCAAAGCTCACTAGCACAGTGTTTCACATTGGTCTAACAGGAGGTGGTCACAGTACAGTGATTTATGGTGTTTTAAAGTATTTCCCACTATTTCAAATAGTGTGGAATTACAGAGAACTAATATATTAAAGCACCTCTTACTAGTTTAGCACCAGTTACAGTAATTAGTCCTGACCTTTGCACACCTAAATTTGGGGTCGGAGATATTAAGGGCCAAATGTTCAATCACATGGGCTGCTGCAATATTGTTGCCACTTTGTGTGCAAGTGAGTGGTCTTGGATATATTTGTTACAACAGCGGAGAGACACACAGCCGTACAAAAACGAATGATTGCCTGCTTAGAGCATGAATGCAGGCACCCCACTTGTTCACAAAACACCACACAGCACAGTCACAGCCAGTTTGGGCAATAGGAAATGGGTAAGCAGTCACTGGTAGTCACAGTTTGCACAATCACAATGTGTTGACACTCATCTGCCACACTTGTCACACGGGAGCGCTTCATGGCCCACAGCTTTTGGTTGTGTTTGTAGGAGCGCAGCTGTTGATTGATGATGGTTGTGGTACCTGGAGCGTGGCCTTGGCCAGGGATTGTGGTGCTGAGCTGCTGTGGCTCCCTCCCCACTGAATCAGTTCCTGGGCGATTCCCAGACTGATGCCTTTCAGTGTTACACTAAGGTGGTGATTACCTCCTGTGTTCTAGGCTCACTGGAGAGTAAGTTGGTTATCAGTGCATTTTTATAATAAGTTGTTAGGGATTTCATAGCACAGGGAACAGTATTTGGAAAAGGAATTTAATGAAATCAAGATGGTCAGTACTTTAGAAGTCTTTCCTTTGAGATCAGTCTGAACCAGTGTTACAACTAAGCAGGAGAGAGTTGTCTAACTATTACTTTACAGATAACATGGTTTAAGACTTCATAGACAACTTCAGACAAGTTTTTGCTCAACAACTCCATTGTATGTGTAACTTTGCCTGGTAGGATTGACCGAGGTTCTTTGCACTACTTGAGGAAAGGCCAGCAATGCAAGGATAGGGATGTTTGTTAGTCTGTACTGACAGCTAGTGGTAAACAGAAAAAGTGAATCCTCCCCAAAATGCTTTATATACTCAAAATTGCAAATTTCAGAAATGTCACAAATGCTTCTTAGGTAAAGTGGACAAGTGGTTGCTCTTGCAGCTGTGCAGGATGTTTGTGGGGAAACTGTCATTGTAGTGCCTGTTTTGTCTGGGAATGTACTTTAGGGACACTAACCTGTGAGGACATTTACAGACTAGGTGGGGATGTGATTATTGGCCATTGTTTCCTTTCCTGCATTTAATGTGTACTCAGAATTACTTAGCAAGAGTCGGGCTACTAATGGTCTCATAAGCTACTGGAACGAGTCAGATTTAGGGGACTGAGTGTAAAATCATAGGAATAATAGACTAAATAAACTGGGCTGGAGATGAATTGAGATCTGTAATTAACTGTAGAGAAGCTTGGAGCATAAATAGCTTGGAGCTACAGTCACGTGGGCAGTGAGTCTCAGCGAAGTCCCCAGCTGTCCTGCTCCAGTACTGCTCTAGCTGGCTATCACCTTTCCCCTTAGACACATGGTAACTTGTTCATGCAATATTTAAACTTCTGGAACAGGAAGGACAGTAATCCCTAACTGGAAGGGTTGTGTGTATACAGCTTGGATTTAATAAAAACAAAAACACAGGAATCAGGAAAATGTCTGTTTCCACCCACTGTGGGCCCCAGCTGTGCACAACTGCATGTGCTGTTCGAGTTGTCCTGCTCAAAGTTTGGTTTTCATTATGGACATTCATAGTTTGGTCACACTTTTAATCCAGGGTACAAAAGATGATACTTTTGTGTAGACACCTGGGGAATCTTTGACCCCACAGCCGTAGCCCCAGGAGGTCACACCGTACACGACCCAGCTTTCCCCCGGGCGCTCACACATCAGTGGTCCTCCGCTGTCTCCTTGACAGCTGTCAACACGTTTCTGTTCCTGCAGGTTTCCAGCACAGAGCATCCTCCCTGTGAATCTCCTCTTGTAGCGCTCCTCACACACCCTCTTGGGAAGTAAGGGGATGGCAGCTTGCTGTAATGTTCTCGAATAAGCCCGTCCTAAAAAGGAGATCCAAATTACTGTCTCATTACGGTGGTCGGTCTTGGAAACATAGACGCGATTTAATCAATTTTTGCTCTCAGGTCTTCACGCTGCTTTGTCAATTATATAAAATTACTGGAGGCAAGACTACTGGAAACATCTCTGCATTCAATATAGTACTAGAATACTGTAGATATTGTACATGTAAAATGTAGGTGCTTTTTTAAAAAAGTAGCTTTCCTGTGTGTATTGTCTGGATCTTTTCAAGGCTGGAGTTGGGTTTATTCTGAGCACTTTGTGTCTATGCAGAAGCGATTTTTGGGAGTCTCACACAGCTGAGAGTAAAGCAGTAGAAGTCTTTCATTTCTGTGTCACAATAGTCTGTGTCAAATCTAGTGTAGCTCAGCCTGAACAGGTGCTGCATCTTCTAGTGGCTTCCAAGTAGAGCATTCAAATGGATCTTTCTAGTTTTTTTCCATAGCTTGCCTTTCTTTCAGTTGGAAGCATGGGAAATGAGAGCCGGTGTTGGTTTTGGGTTTTTTAAGTAAAATCATACAACTTGTGAAGTAATTATGATTCATATAGTAAGTGTGAAATGTCAGCTGAGGTACTGCAATGATGTCATTTCTTACCATAAATTGAAGGCAATTACTGCAGTGGTTAATGTTCCCTGAAACAGATGTCCTAAGTTAGCAGTATTGCAGGACTTGGAGTGAATTATGTAAAAAAGGCTAGACAGAGCTAGGCAATGAATTAACAATAGTTTTTGGCAAGAAAGCCACCCTACTTGTCCCTCGTTTATTGTAGTACAGTGACCCCAACCTCAGTGCACGCAGATTAGAGCATGTAAAGAGGAGGGGCGGATCCTTGGCCGTGCCTTGTCCCCTTGCCAGTTTGAGTGAGTCACTGCAACAAAGGCTCAAGTGTGGTTGCTGTCTTGCACTGCGTTCAGCACCACAAAAACATAAAAGTAAAACATGGTTATTAATTTGTGAAACATTTAAAGGACAAGGAATTCCTTTGAAGAGGAACAATCTTGTACTGACCAAAAAAAAAAACAAGTAGAAGCCTGGAGTACAGATTGCATTGAGGCTTTTGTAAATTTTGCCAAGATGCTCTGTTAGTTAAATCAAAGGTGGTTGAAAATGTCAGTGGTAACAAACACTAAAATGTTGTTTGAAATTCTGTTATGTGTGCATTTTCCATCCATTTTTCTATTGAAATATTGTAATTTAAGTAACCTTTCTAAAATTAAAATATCTGTGGTCTTTACCTTTGAAACCTTATATGTGTTAGAGCTGTTAGTTACGTACTGAGGCAGGTACAGTGAGCCTGGCAACAAATAAGCTTTTTATTCCTGCTTGTCAGTCTTAATGAAGCCACTTGACTGACAGGGTCTGTGATTTAGAATGACATGGTTAATCAGTGCTTTCCAAATACAAACTGTATTCAGTAAACAAAATATTGTCATTCCTGGTTGAGGATCGGGAGAGAAAATATTCCCCCGTGTTAAAAAAGAGTAAAATGCTTTCATTTGAAGCATTTTCTTATTATTTGAGGGGGTTTTTTGAGCAGCCTCAGCTAAGCAGATTGGAGCAGAGAAATGATATTACCTGTGTCACCCCATCCAGTGATGAAGCAGTTGGGAGCAGTTCTGTGCGGTCGCTCTCTCCGCAGCGGCAAGCAGGCAGGGAGGACGTGGGTGCTGAACCTGGCGCACTGCTCCTCGGGCCCCTGCAGCCTCAGCAAGGCAATGTCGTAGTCGCTGCTGTCAGGCCTGTACTCCTTGTGCACCACGATCTCCCGGACTCCGATCTCCTCCTCGTACTCCTCCAGCACCAGCGTGTGGTAGTCCCCAACCCGCACCACGTAGTTGCGAGTGTTGTTGCCGTACCTGAGGTGGAGGTGAGAACAAACAGGGCTGGCTCAGGCCAGGTCACACCCTGAGTGTGCAAACAGAACTCATCACTTCCTCTCTTGTTCACGCAGCAAATGTTAACCAAAAGATTTTTTTAAAGAGCGAAAACGCTGTCTCAAATGCTTACACTCACATTTCAGTGTGTCCTAAAGAATATAAAATCCTTCTTCTGAGGTTTCAGGTTGTGCCATGTTCTTTTGGAGTATTTTCACAGCCAATTTTCTTATGGCCATTTGCCATGACTGACACTTCAAATGTACAAGGTGTGCATGATAGATTTATTTAGCAAGGGTAACGTAAACTGCCAGTAATTGCAGTGACAGCCTGGTACTGACATCATTGTGGTGCTCCAGATAATGACTGGAATGAAAACAGTGTTCAGGTCTGCTTTGTAGGTCAGTTGAGGAACTTCAGAGGCTTAGGTAACTTAATAAAAACCTCTTACATCCACTGAAGTTACAGTAAGGATGACAAAGCACTTGTGCATCACGAGCACCTACTGTGAAACTGACAGGAGGCCTGTAAATCTCTAGGCTTGTTTTGCATCTGATATAATCCCAGTGTCTTTCACATCATGGACTAAATGGTAAATGCATTAGAGATGACTTCTGTAGCTGGAATAACAATTTTCTGTGCCTGCCTTTGAAGATTTTTGTATTACAGGACACACAGCCCTTCCCAGCAAAATGCAAACAAGGGAGTACTGTTAGGTACGTGTATTTATTTTAAAATATGGCTAATCTAACAGAAATGTTCTTCCTTTTATTTCTCCCTTAATAGCCTTCAACATGAAATTTCTAATATGCTTGCAGAAAATATTACCCACAGTGTCCCATCACCTTGTAACTTACGCCTTTTCTTTTTATACCATCTAGCAATCTTCTGGTCTCCATAGCTTGCTAAAGCCTGCTTGAGGAGCAGCAGACAAAGCAGGGACATTTCTGTTTTCTTCACAATATATAGCTGTACCACTGAATATTTATTCTAGTTGTGGGTCACATTCCTGGTTGCCTGTAAAGCTTTCTTGGTCTAATCCTTCAGGTCTTCTATGAGCAGAATTTCACTTCTAGGCTTTGTGGAGAGAGAGCTGCAGGCTGTGAGCAAGCATCCCTTCATCCCAAGATGACCTTCTGTATAGGATACCTGAAGGGGTTTTTCCTATGCTTCATGTTTCTAATTATCCAGTTATTTTTTAAAATATATAGACCTTCCAATTTCCCTGTAGCTGTCAGAATAGCTCAAGACAAGGGTTGGTTATAAAACAAGAAATAGCTTCAAACATTTTATCTTCATTTAAGTCTCTGCAAGAGTATAGAAACCAATAATTCCACTGTAGTACTGGTGAACAGTTCTAATCATCATGCATAAAATTATGCTTAATTTTTACCCCCGGTACAAATGAGCCCACTTTGGTTACTTAAGCAGTGTTCCAATTTCCAGGATATGGGAAATGGTATACTGGCCTTTCTCTTGTCCATCTGCGGAAAATATGTGAAGAAGGCACTTGATCTATAGATAGCTCTTGGAAACCTATCCCTGAAAATCACTCTGAGATCATTTGGAAGTTGAGCCCAGCCTGTCCAAAGCCAGCTTAGAGCTAAAGGATTCCCTCACTGCACGGTAGTGCATCCACAGGCTCTTGGAGCTGCATGCTTAGGTCTAATCACAGTTTAAAGGTAGCTTCTGGGACAAAACAACACTTTGGTCACTGAGACCTCAGTAACAGTTTCAGGGTTGCCTGTGACAGCCCCTTGAGTGTTTGCAGCAATCTGGAAGTACCACAGTGTCCTTTGCTCCAGCCATGCTGCTGCCACATCCTGTGGGTGCTCAGCAGAGAATCCAAAATTGACACTCCTTGGCACCACATTCAGTTTTCAAGCCTGTAATCAAAGGCTTTCTCAAGAGCCTCAGGCAGCATCCTTGGTAATCACTCCAGAGATAATGAACAAGGAAGTAGGAAGCCATTGTCTGTGATTTTTGATGAAAGCAACTAAAGGGCTTCCATAGTTCTGCAGAAGCACCTGGGGCGTCAGGTGAAATAGCAGGAAATTTTACTAAATTTGACTGTTTCAGCTTGAAATATTACCAAGGAAAGTGCTTCATGATTTCAGGAAACAAGAAAAGATGTGCATCTGGTGCTCAGCAAAGGTAATACACTGTGCATTTGAGTAGAAGCATATCTGACTCTTCATTTTAGGTACTAGTGTGCAAAAGAAAAGGCTCAAAATCAAAATGTGAAATATTTGCAGCTCACTTGAGCAAATACCATCAAAACTGTAGTGCTCCTCTATGCTTTTTTCCCAGCCTGTTCCAGTGAAATAATCACCAATCACAAGATTAGCGTCCTTATTGAGCAAGTTGGTGCATTTATACTTCAGTGACCTCATCAGCAGTGAAGTCCTGCATTTAGTTACTGCTGTGATAGAGTAAAAACAGATCTACCACTGCCAAGATCTGTTGTTAGCAAATTTAGTCCGAAATATTACAGTCCCTGTTTGGTGTCTGCTCAGTTGTCTTCACTATTATCTAAAAGCCATAAGCTGCATTTTTGTTGGAACAGAAAGTTAAAATGTCAGAAGTGCTGTCTATATTTTTTCATGAAAATGCTGAAGTTGAGGATGTAAATCACATGAAGGACAGCACCCAAATAATTTTAATGCATTAGGGTGTTTCATTTGTTTGAGGGAAAGGAGATTGAGTGGAAGGGTTTTTTATAACCAAAGGCCAACTCTTGGCACAGATTTCCATGGGCTTGTTCAGTACATGAACTGTAATGGTTTTGCATCTGTCCAGAACAACAAAACAGTACAAGAGACCCACCTTTTAAAGCAGTGTGCAGCAGTGAGGACCCAGCAGCTGCTGATGAGAGTAGCACCACACAGGAGCCTCCCATCGCCATGAGAGGATTTCAGCCGCAGTGCCACCTGCCACGGCCAGCCGCCCCTGCGGGAGTGACACACGGTGTTGAGGGTGCAGCAGCGGGGAGCTCCCTTACCTGCTGTGTGCATCCTGTTGGCTTGCTTTGACTGACAACAGCTTTCTTACAAAATGGGCTGTTTATTAAGGGTGGTGAATATTTTATGTCCTGCCAACCCTCAGAATTCCATTGAACAATGGTCCACATTACTTCACAGAGAATTTGGGCATCCAGCACTCTTAAGTGCTTCCTCCCACAGTCAGCTATTTGAATTTTCTCTTCTCAGATTGCATTCATTGGGCCAAACATACATTCTTTGGGTTCCTTGCCAAATACCATCCCAGTCAACAAACCCGAAATTTCCTGTCAGCTGGAGAGGGGAAAGGGGAATTTCTTGAAAAGCTCAACCCTGCATCCATCCCTTTCTTCATGAGAAAGGAAGCTGGCAAAAGAGGAGGTATAAAGCAACTGCAGAAGTCTCAAGTATAGAGGAGCACTTTTTTTTCAGCCTGTGCTTATCTGTTTTCATAGTTGATCTGGCCATATTTGCATACCTATGAATGCAGGATGGGTGGTTTTTTTTTTTTTCTGGTTTTATAGATCAGGAGCCAGAGAAGGGAAAGGGAGAGAGCTGCACCTGTAGGCAGTGGCACCATCTAAGACAGGTAGTCTGAGTGTTTACTGTCCACTTGAATGGGTGTGCTGGACAAAAAGAGCTGCCAGGGGTCATCTAGTCCAGCCTCTCAGAATTACCAGAGCAAGATGTTTTAAAGTAAGGTGGAGGAATTTACTTCTCATATAGAATAAAACAATTTAGATGCTTCTCAGTTTTGGAAGATAGGATTTAGTATGTTTTTTTCTAAAGGGAGGTAATTCAGACAGCTTTGCATTTCCTGGTACATAAGTTCTTTTCAAACTTCCTCAAGTTCTTTGTCTTAATGACTTCTTGTGACATTGAGTCCTTTTCTGATAAATATGCTCCCTTGCTTGATTTTCAAGTGTTTCTGTGTGTACTGTTGGATTTTTCTCACCTTTTTGCTTCATCTAACATTCCTGTACTGATTTATGATGAGACCAGCTTCCTTGCTCTGACTGAATTGTGCAATACATTATTTGTCACCATTGCATTTCAGCAAGTGTCCTTAGAACACATATTCTGAGACAAGAATTCTCAGTCTCTTCCTGTGCAATGCATTATCTGTTATCTCATTTGTCCCTTCACTAAGGCAAGTCATCCTACTTTACTTTATCTCTGACTGTATTAAAATATTTTTCTGGGCCCCCTCTTGTTACTGTCCTTTGAAGCTCCCCCACTTAGGCAGTGGGAATCCATTTGAAATGGATTGATCAGTGCTGTGCAGGTACTTTGAAACAGGTTGCACAGTCACGTGTAATGATGCTGTTTGTGTATCTTCTTGCAATGCCTTTTGTAAGATTGTGTGAATATTTATTTTGTGTGTTAAGTCACAACTGCTAAAAAAGTCAAGTCACTGTCTCCTGTTTTTTAGCTGTGTCATCATCAAGGCTTATTTTGTGAAGGAAAATAAGGTCTTAGGTAGTAAATCATACCCAGGCCTCTTTTTTTGGTGTGGGTGGCATTTAAAACCTTATACTGCATTGATAGTTCCGTTTTTATGGCTCACATCCTGATACCAAGATATCCTCTGATAAAAGTAAAATAGCTATTTTTAAAGTCAAAAATATAACCCATTCAAGGACTTTACCCACAAACATCTACAGATTTTCAACTAATGCTGCAAATACTTGTCAATTAGTACTTTTTAATTTCCTGCCAAATCTGCTTCGGGTATATTCCTACTCCTGCATCGTGACAAGTGAAGAGAAAAACAAGAAGCCTACAATAACATTGTAAATCTGGCAAACCACTTATGGCAAATACATGTCTTAGAAGCTTTATATTCAGAATTATTTGTCTTTACCAATTATTTACCGTAAAGAATTTTTCCCACCAATTATTCGCTTTTGTCGACGATGGAGTAACCTCAGCCCACAAACAGAAGCAAGAGAATCTAAACCAGAAAGGGAGATGGTAGAGAATGTTAAACTCAACAGGAGAAGTAGCCAATATTCAATGACAGTTAACTTAAAAACAAATCTAAAGTTGGAATTATTCTGTATTTCATGGTAGTTTTTAACAGGCAAGTTTTGACTGGGGAAAATACAGTGAATTCTTTCAAGACTTAGAAATCCTTTGCTAAGGTCTTAGCTAATCCTAGCTAAGTTCTTCTGGCTGTGATCAGAGGCATTTACACGTTTGCTTCTCACATGTAGGATTCCGTAGGGCTCTTCCTTACTTCTCTAAGTGGAAGCAGACCTTGGCCAACCACACAGGTCTCAGTCCTTATCCGAGGGTAACCTACACCTTGAGAAGCTGAAAGGAGCTGTTTAGGTTTTTGCATCATGTCCCTCAAGCAGCTTAATGAACGTGGCTGCTGTAAGCCATGGCTACAAAGACCCTGTTTGGAGACAGAGCAGTCTGGGTGCTTCCTTTGTGCAGCTGCACAGTGTAAGCAGAGGGGTTCCCACCCCTTTTGTTCTGTAGCTGTTTCTGATAAGACTGTTTCCTCTGTGAGGTGGGATTGTTCACTCTGTCTCTTCCTACCACACACTTGCTCACCTGGACCTGTGGGTCTGCCCCTCACGACACGGCCTCACCTTTATTGCTGTTGCCAGGGACTTTCTTGCTGAGGTGGTCGCAGATGACCCCCGCGTCCTCGCTGTGCCGGCAGTTGTGCGTCCCAATGTCCTGCTTAATGCAGTCTGCCAAGGATCTCTCATTTCCTGTACACTTCACGTTATCCACGTGGATGGGGCCTTTGCCCTCACCGAAATAGGCCATTGTCCTTGCTCTAGCTGAACCTCTGCAAACAGAGTGTATTTTTTATTATTGTTAAACATATTGAGGCATTACTCTACGTTTTGCTCAAATTTCCAAGTGAGTAGTCAAAGACAATGCAGTTTCATTCCAAACCCTGTCACTGTTTCACTTGATAACAACCACCTTCTCACCACCTCTCTTATTCTCGTATGTAGGGAAAAAAAACTGAGAGAAAATTTGCTACATTTCATTAATGTTTTAAAACTGCTTTTGTGTATCTGGTTAGAAGGCAGTGTGCAAAGTGTTTTCCGTTGTATCAGTGTTACATTTTGCCATAAAACAAAATATGTGAAAGCTTCTTTTTCATAATCTCTTTAATCCTCGTATAAAGTCAGCATCTGTGAAAGCTAAAAATAATTTGTTCAGGTCTGATTGCCTCAGAAAGATGGGCCAGCTAAATGCAGTATACTTGCAGTGCAATAGGAGCCATGATGTACAGACCTATCAGTTGTTAGTGGTTATTGAAATATTTTGTTATCATGTCATTTTTTACAGGGCACCCCATATTTGAGGTCTAAAAATACCACGTGACTGGAGACCAGTTTAGTGTCTGCACTGCCCTGTTCTTGGGAAAGCATCTCATTTGGCAGCTCCTGTGATAGATTATTACTGTTAATTAGTTAAGGCAGCCTTCTTAATTTATAAATAGGTGTTTTGTTGTACATGGTTTAAGAGTCTGAAAGAATTATGAGTGAGAGACCACTCAGTTGGCTGTACAGAGAAGTGGGGCAGGAAGCCACAGGCACCTCTAAGTGTGCCTGAGCTACAAGTTTACCTGTTGGTTAAGAGCAATTTACTGACATTTTACTGGGATAAGGATGTATGGAATTGCAGATAACTGAAGTACAGGTTTCCATTTTAAAGGGTATTTTATAATTGTATATTGTAAAGTACTGCTTCTATGCATACAGAACTGTAACTGCAGATGTGATGAAATGCTGGAGCAGAGAAAGAGATTTTGACTATAAAAACGTATTAGGCAAGAAAGTATTTCCCTCTACAGCTCTTTTTGTACCTCTTTAATACCTGCGGTGTTGGGGAAGGTAGGTGAGAATGGCATGAAGAGTTTACATCCCTTTTTGAGCTGGGTTTGGTCTGCTGGGGAGGAATCCTGATTTGTTATACCATTTTCAAAGCTTGGTCACAGTGGAAATGTGGCTGGCTCAAACATTTCCAAGTAGGGAACATTGGTTAGAATGCAGAAATAGTGAAAAGCCAGGAAAGAGAAGCTCCTGAAACACTAGGTGAGAGACAATACCACAAGGTCAACTCTACTTACACATTTTCAATTTCTTTGGTTAGGAGGTATTTGCCAGATAATTCAGACCCTTAACTGCCTTTGGAACTGGTGTAGGACAATCGCTGCCTAATGAGTTTACTCTGATTTGACATGTCAGTCACAAATAGTGTGACTCTTGCTCCACATGTTTTTCTTTTGTGAGGAATACTCTGATAACCACAAAAAAATAAGTCCAGCTCTCTGATACCTGTGGGCAGCTGACATGGTCATGTTTGCTGTTACAACACAGTGAGACAGTACAGGCACTCATTGTAAATTCTTACCTGGTTTCGGTATCTCTGTCAAATAACAAAGTTTCTGCTTTAGGGCATTGTTCTAAAGTTCCTCAGGATATTGAAAACTACTTTGTTGTATTCTTGTCCTTCCCCAGAGAAGTATTTATTGCAATTTAGTACAGAATTGTTTCTCCAGAATCTTATCAGTTACTTAATAAGGGCACTACCTCCTTCTTCCTACCTTTGTATGAAAGCAATCTGTCTCTTAGTGTGCATCAGTAATCTCTCAGTTTGCTGATAAAGGGAATGAAAGCTGTTCAGACCCAACCAACCAACCAGCAGCACCACAGAAAACCCAAACCAGCCCCCACTGAAGAACATCTGTCAGGAAACAAATGTAAAAAAATCATGGTGTTCTTAAGCAAGGAGTGCAGCTTAATGGAGAAAATTATTTCTTATAATTGGGAGATCTCTGAAGGCACAGATGTTACATCTGTGTGTTTGTTACATGCTGGAACATGTAACAAACATGTAACAAACATGTAACATGCTCTTACAAGCAGCTTTAGTGCACCCCTAACAAACACGTGTCCCTCAATCACTGCTTTCCAAGCCAGCTATCTATGCACTGATGAGCTTCAGAGAAACAACCTTTCTGCCTGCTCAGATCTGTCCCTGGAGACAAGTGGCTTCAGGTGTTTTCCTCTCAGTTCTCTCACTAGAAGGGCCATGCACAATAACAATGCTGAGCTTTTCAGATGCAGTATTATCATTATTCATGATATGGTTAATGAGAAAATCCAGTGGATTGGGACAGATGGACACCTGTCCTAGAATTTCCAAGTCAGGTAACTTGTAAGAGTGGTGTCTTGACTTGTAAGTCAAGTTTTGCTGTTTTGAAGCCTTTTAAAGAGGCTTTTACCGAATGAATACCCTGCAGTTTTTAAAAGGTGTATATTGTGTGCTCAGACATGATGTGATGATATTTGGTAGGACAAACTTCACACTGTTAGATACAACAAACAGTTAATATAATTTGTATTTCTCCAGCTCAAATTTCTTCATAGGTACACTTGGAGAAGACATTTAACTGATTTCCTGTTGTATTTCACTAGTCTTCTGGATATTTTTCAAGTCTTATTAGTACTGCTATTTATATATCTGCCCTATAGTTGTTATATTTTTGCTGCTCTTGGGTATCCAGAAGAAAAATGCTGATGAGTGATGTAAGCCTGATTAAGTGATTTATTTCAAAAATTACACATATATTGCAGTGGTTTTAATTAGAGGGTGGGTTTGTTCTGTCAGGTCTATTCCTGTATTACATGAAGCTTATTCAAATTACTGTCATGCAGACTGGAGCCATAATCTCTTGTATAACAGCTTCATCAGATCTTCGAGCTGCATCAAATCTAGCCAGATCAGTAAATGAAGGAAAAAACTCCATTAAATTAGGAATTCAGTAGCTGGTGTGCCTGCATCTCAATCTGCAGTGATCATATCCACACCTGGTGACAGTGGACACTGACCTGTTTTTGAAACAAATATGACAACTAAAATTTTTTTATTTAATAATAGATTAATAATTTGGAATGTTTAACTTGTAATGAAAAATATTTAATAACTTACATTAACTTGCATTTCTGTTGCCAGTCAGACTGACACACCTTTGAATACTAACATTCCCATTCCCAGTTCTGCTACTTAATGAATATTCCTTTTGAAGGCAAAGCCTTACTATTTTTCATACCAATAGTAGGAGCACATTTTTCTAAAAAAATGCCAAACTGACAAGTTTTAAAAGACACACATCATCTTATTAGACATGTTTGTGGTATTTGGTTGCAGAAACTTAAGATTTTTAGATAGAGAAAACATGAGGAACAGCTTAATGAGTTTTCTTACTTGTAGCCAAGCTGTCGGCAGACTACAGCTGCATCCTTATCAGACCATCCATCATCACAAATTGTGCCCCACTGGCCATTGATAAAAATCTCCACACGTCCTTCCTTCTTATTCTCGCCATCCATCAGCCTGATGGGAGGACCTGGGAATAAATGACTGTTGTCAGCTCACAGCAACAGAAGCAAGAACTGGTGCTTTTGGTTATTTTCATTATATTCAGTACAACCGGTATTTATGTTCAATGAGCATAATATCAGTGGTAAAAATAGTCATATTCTTCCTGGCTGGCAAGAAGAAGCAGCTGGTACAAATGACAAGACAAATACTAAATACTCCTGTACTTTACTCTTCAGAGTTCAGCTAATTCCTTCATTCCATGCAAATATGTGACATAGTTCAGAAATTGACCACAGTTCTATACAAAAAGGTAGAAAACACCTGAGATGCCTTTGATATGATACTCATACAAGCTGGACAATTTTTCCTTACAGGAACTTCATGGGTGAATTTAGTTATATCTCAGTCTATAAACTCATTCTCAAACTGGTTGCTGCTGCTCCTCCTAGCCACTGTCTCAGCAAAAATATTGCATCATTGTGTCAAACTTCAACTATTCCTTATCTCAGCTATTCCTTATGCACATTGTTCTGCAGCATGTTATTCTGGATTATTTTTCTAGCAATTTAAAGTGATTGTTTATTCAGATACATTCATATTATGAAATTTCACTTATGTGGATTAGTCAGACTTAGTTGATGATGGTTTCTGCAGTGCTTTCCTGTGGTTAAGTTTTGAGTCATTAGGCAAAGTAAATATCTAATTCTTACTTACTCTAATATTCCTCTATAGCCTGCAAGCAATGCAAATACCCTTTAAACACTTATGAATTCCTCTGTGGCCTCTTTATAATGTTCAAGGGAGAATCACCTTCAAAATATTTTTCTGTAGCATACTTTATAATCTTTATTATACTCATGAGAGTTGCTTTTTACAATAACAGAAAAGACTCTTCCTCATTCTTCCAACCCATTCCTAATGTTTTCTAAATATGTGAGGATGAGGAATTACTTAATTGCACTCTTAAAGCAGTATTTTGAGATATCTGCATTTGATATTTAACTCAGGTTAGTTTAGGGTATGAATAACTTTTGTATACCAATGATGAATCTGGTCAGTGTTAGTTAAGTCTGGCCTAAGTCATTAAATGAACAGGGACATATTTGAAGATAAAATCCAAGTCTGCTTCCGATGTAATTTAAAGCATATTGTTTCTGTTGGAGTTTGTACTGGACAGTTACATGAATTAACTTCACCACCATTCTGTTTCCCTATACTGTCATGATCTTACTGGACAAATGCTATTATTGTAGTGTACCCTAGCTCCTTTTCAGTGTTCCTGAATATCTGTTTCCTTAAGTCCTATAATCTACTAATTTCTTGGGGGTTTTTTGTTGTTGTTTTTGTTTTGTTTTGTTTTGGTTGGTTTTTTTCCCCCCACTGAATTTATACTTATGGGAAAAAAATGCTTTTTCAAATGCTGGGAAGTAAATGGTAGCAACACTTTGTCCACTTTCCAATCAGAAATCTTCTAAGAAATGTCAGATAAAATGTCTTACTTTCTTGATCTGATGTGTTCTGGAGGAATACAACTTATAGTGAGAACTAAACTTCCATTAACCAGATAGAGGCATGGAGTACTAATATTGTTTTATTGTATTTTATATATATATCTATTTATGAGCACAAAATAATATAGCATTCTGGTAGTGGGGATGTGAGAATATTACCATATGGATGTATTTAACTGAACCAAACTCCTTCAGCAGAGATATTTTATAGGAATTTGAGCAAAGTGGCACATATGGTTTACATCTGTAAAGGCAGCAGTCATGATTTGAATTCCTATTATTTTTGGTTTGGGAAAATTCTTTCTAATAAGTAGGATTTGATATATGTATTGCAATATAAAACATTCATTGGATGGTGAGAGGGCTATATAGAATAAGCCTTTGAAGAGAGAGAGATTCAAAAAGTACATGTGGAAGTGCTGAATGTTGTTACAGCAAGTAGCAACATTGTGCAGTAAATCCATGTTGTAGTTTGTGGGATAAACCTTTAGTCTGTGATTTCCAGGAAACAGGCATGTAATACTAATTTCAAATTCAACTGATATAGTCTTGGGTAAGCCAAATGGCACTGGCAACAATTTTCTAAAAGGCTACATAGTGGCAAGCTACACACTTTGTGTAGCAAATTGTAAAAACGAAACTTTGCAGAATCCCTGTGCAACCCATTGTGCATCTACTGTGCACATCTCATAGCCAGAATTATTGTTTAATTATCTACATGTGGATTTAGGAATATTTGGAATTTATTTGTTTGTATTTGGTTCTACAGTTTCACTGTGTAATTGGTATTTTTCTATAATTCCTTATCAGTCTTTTTAGTCTCATTATTTCCATACAAGTTTGTAGGCTTTTGACATGGGAACTGACTCTCTTATCTGGGTGTGTAGTGTCATTCTGTCCTGGTCAGCAGGTGGGGCCCATTCACCCAGACACATATAAGTGGTAGGCAGGAGTAACACAGAAATAATTTCATGCTTCTCACCCTTCCTTCTTGCTATCTCTGAACTTCTCATTGTCTCCGTATCCCTTGTTTCAGATTGTCTGAATGCAAAGCCATAGGAGGATGTGCTATGGATTTGCGTTCCCCAGTGCTCAGCTATGTCTCCAGCCAAGTAAAATTAGGTATGCTATCAGGAAATGCTGAATGGCTCCAAAATCTGGTGGAGGCTGAGGGAACAGCATCTCTGGAATGTGGCTTTGTTACCGTGCAAACCTGGCTTGAGCTTTAATGTTCTGGATGCTTACGTTCTAAACAAAACCTGATTACTTCCTGTGATCTTGAGGAGAAAAGTAAGGCTTTTTCCCTTCCTCTTTCTTTCCTTGCACCCATCTGACAAATACCAGGATTTTGAGAATCCTCAAGTATTCTGTACTTTGATTGGGTCTGTATCCACAGCAATACTCATACTGTGACTTCAGCAAAGAGCTTCCTTACCAAGTGAGCGCTTGTGGCTGTCGTTCTCCGGGTGGCAGATGAGTCTGACATCCTCCTGATGGTTGCAGTCGTGCTTCCCCCACTCCCTGTGGGAGCACTGCAGAAGGTTTGTCTCCTTCCCGGAGCAGATCACATCATCCAACCAGATGGGCCCGGAGCTCCCTTCTGAGTAGCTCTCTTTTTCCATAGCTGCACTTTTCCCATACCTGCACAACACAGAGGTATGTTTTGGTCCACAGTCATCAGAGGACACATGATGCTTAAGCATGAGAAGGGAAAGTGCTAATCCTGAGGAAACAGAGATTTCTCAAGTATTCTCAGTAAGCGGGTTCAGTTAGCATTAAATTCAGTGAGAGCACCATATGCTGCCTCTTCAGTAATGTTTTTTTTTTAAGGAATTACTGTTACATTAGTACAAACTTAAGAATGTAATACCTTTGATTAAGGCTGCTCTTCAACCAAGCATATGGCTGGCGCAATGACTCTGAGTCTTTAAGCATGTTCTTAGTTTTCTGTATACATTTAAATGCCACAGTCTGACACAAAATCCTTTTTTAAATGTCAGCTGTTCAAGTCTGAAGGCAAGACAACAGTCACCTACTGAGAGTGTATCTTTGTAGCCACAGGTCAGGAGGGAAAGTAGGGAAGAGTAAATGCATGAAACAAATGGGATTTTGCTAAAATGCTTTTCACTACATAACTGTTCCAGAGCCAGGCTTTGGAATTTTCTGAGGTCGTGCAGAAGGACTTTCACCTTGAAAATGCCTGTCATTAATAATGACTGTACAACAAGCAAAGATGTAGAGGAATCCAACTTTTATAGGCAAAATAGAAGTCAAAATCAGTTCTCGATAGCACATGCACTGATCTCAGCAAAA